AACACAGCTTTGATCTTTGCAACTTAAATAGCAGATGAATTGAAACGAAGGCAAGAAAAATATTAGTGTAAAGATCCTCTAGCAAATACCTRTAACCAGGCCTCACATCCTTCAGATCTTTTTGAAGTGCTTTATCACTTACAGCCAAACTGGCCCTTGYGTTCTTGCCCATCGTGCCAAGGCCAGGCTGTTCCCTTCCCACCTTCTTCCCTCCATTCCCCTCCGGCTCCATGGCCTTTAAAGAAAGTGCATTAACACACGTGCTTGTCTGGATGCAGCATTTGGCCAGACAAGGTTAGACCTACCCATCTGATCAAGAAAAAAAAGCCTTCCTTGAACAAGAGGGATTCAGCAGACTGGGAGGAAACACACTCCCATCAGCAAGAACATTCATCACCCAGCACGAAACTAAATACAGGTGCYTGCTGCAGTTTAAACATCTGCCCCTCTGCCTTTAGAAGATGGCCTCATTCCAGGTCAATTAAGAGCTCAGAGGACATTTTAAAAGGGTTTTTAAACAGGACAACCCACTGATCAGTGCCAGTTCCCGGTGGTTCAGGACCCCACAATGCAGACAAAGAAGTGCCTATGGCCACAACTGTGGAGCTGCCATGCCTTTGAAACTCCTGCCATATCGAGGTTCCAGCCTGCCCAGAGCACTGTCTGAACACAGCCAAGTCCCAAGGGGGATCACATCATTCCTGTTTTCAGAAATTTTCTTCTTGAAAACCAGGCTTGCTAGCAAGCATGACAGAAGCACAGCCATACAGAAATACACAGCTCAACACAGGACACGGAGGCATTTCCAGAACAAAATAGACCTTTTGGGGTTTGGTTTTTTTTTTTGCTTTAAAGGAAAGTTGACTCAGCAAATATTTCCTCTGCTAGCATTTCRACCACATGTTCCAGCAGAAGTCAGCACACATCTGGCATACTGCAGTACCACAAAGATCACAGCTTCACTGAACAATGGAAGTGGAAGAAGAGGGACCAGCAGCCCAGGCACTGGGCACTTCTGGGACACATACATGGCCAAGGACCTGTGTGAGCAATGGGTACTGCAAAGCTCYCARRTCTTCCTCCAATGCTCTTTCCAAACAGCATCCACAGGCAAAGAGATGYGGATGCCCTGCAGTCCACAAAACTTAGCACTAGCCTGTGAAACCCACACAAAGTGCACGTTTTGGCTACATTGATGGAACCTGGTATTTTTTACAATGTCTGTGAGCTAGATACGTGCATGTTCCCCCCAGAGCTGCCCGATGTGGTCCTGCTCAGCAAGACAAACAAGGAGTGTACCTGACTGGAGCAGCACAAAAAGTGGCAGACAGTCCTCACAGGCGGCTCTGCACATCCAGCTCCAGCGGTGCCGTAGATGGCATCTACTGGCACATAAATGAATGCCGTGGCAGGTCCACGGGACCCGCTGGCTTCAAAATCGAGCCCAAGATAAGCACGCACTCCCCCAGCAGAAACAGCCTTCCCAGAAGGCTGCCAAGGCGGATGGCAATCACGGCGCTAATCAGCTAAGTAAGTGCTGCTTTTCGTGCTTATCAGCTGTAAATTGGACAATACTTGCCGCCTGGCAGCAGGGCTCAGCCACGGCTCCAGATACGGGCGGGCAGCGGCGCTAAAGATATCTTTCCCTCAGAGGCAATATTCTACCCAGGTGCTAAACTAAGATTGCTCTTGATTTTACAGCTCGAACTGCAAAGCAAACTCTACAACTGCGCACGGTGAGACAGAAGGCACGGCAAACAGCTACCGGCAAAATGCGGGATCCTCCCTGTCTGCAGGATTCCCAAGAGAAGAACTGAGGTGGTGTGGCATGGGACAGCCGTGGGACCCTTCACATCCAGGCTGGAAGACGCTGCCCCCGTGGCTTTCATACACAGCCAAGACCTTGGGCTCCTCAGACAAGGAAAATGGTGCTAGGAGGTCAGTGGGGAAAAACACAACGGAGCGAGGGAAGGAGAGTTTGGGTCTTGCACTCGGACACTTTGAAAAGCAGCAGCCAGGATAATCAAGGAGCCGCAGAGCTCGGAACGGGCAGGGAAGGTGGCACTGGGGGCGGGGCATAGGGCTCCTCCAGATGCGCCCAGCAAGGGACAAAACCCCTCAGCGGTCGGGAGGTCAATCTCCACGGGTGGGAGCTCACCGCGTGCCCTGTTTTGTCTCCGAGTTCTGATCTGACCAGAATTCCTAAGAAAACCCTCCGCTGCTGCGCGCAGCCTTCCCGGTGTCAACCCTGCCCACGGCGCCCGGAGGGGCCAAGCCCGGCTAAAGGGGTGTCCGGGAGCCCTCTCCGGAGCGCGCTGCTCCGGGGGCGCCGGTTCGCCGTCTCCCATGCGGCAAATGCCTGCCGTATTTGCATCCCCGTGCATTTCGGCACGRCGCTCCCCCTCCGGAGCGGGCGGGCGGGCAGGGCGAGCCGGCGCACGCCGGGCAAGGAGAGCCGGGCGAGGCGCCCCGGCGGCTCCCGCAGCACAGCGGGGCTGAGCGGGGCGGGGGCGCGGCGGCCCCGGGGGGAACAGATGGGGCCTCACGCAGCCCCTGCTCCGCGCCCGACTCCGGCGGGACGAGCGGGCCCCATCGCCCCCGGGCTCTCGGGAACCCGGGGGGGGGGCGCGGACCACCGGAGGCTCGGCCCCGGACACGGCCGCACCHCCTCCACCGCCGGGACCGGCCGTGGACCCCCGCCCGCCGGCCCCAGCGCGGCCCAGCCACGGACGCCAGGCGAGGCGCGAAGCTCCGCCGCCCCCGCCCCGCCGCCGGGACCCRCATTCCCGGGAAGCGGGGGCTGCGGTGGCTGTCCCGGTCCGTGACTCACCCAGCACCAGCAGTGCCCGCACCGCCGCCATCCTCGGCACCGCCGCCATCCCCCGCGCCGGTCAGCGTGCCCGCCGGACCCCAGCCATGCCGCCGCCGCCCCGCCCGCCGCCGCCGCCGCCGGGAGGGGTTCCGGAGGAGGGGCGGCCACCGGAAACCGGGCGGGGTCGGGAGGAGTGGGGTCCCCCGGGCAGCGCCCGGCTCGGCCCCCCGTGCCTCAGTGGCGGTGCTGGAGGCTCGGAGCTCGCTGGCGCCATCCCCCGCGGAGCCCCTCCGGCACGGGGGGCGGGAGGGTGGCGCCGGGAGCCCCCGCGWACCCGCTCTGCTCCCGCCAGCGCCTCCGGGGTACCCCGAGCAGCGAGAAGGCAACGGAGCGTCCCCCCCGCCCAGGGACTCCTTCTAGCCGGGCTGTTTGTTAAACTCATGGCAGAAACTCCCGGTCTGTACCGCTGTGGAGGCACTGGGGCAGCGAGGAGCCAGGAGCTTCGCACCCTGCTACGGGCAGAGCTGGACACACATCYCCAGCGCACAACACGCTGCCTGCTCTTTGCTGCTCCGCTGCAAGGCACAAGCTGAAGCACAGCAGCATGAGCCGGTCTGGCCATCCGCATGGCCCAGACTGGAGCTTCTCTGCCCGASCCAATGCCTCCCGTGGAACCTGCTGCAGCCCTGCACCACCGGCTCTGGCAGTTGTCACCCTATACACCAGCTTTCCAGCCGGTTTGTTGAGCCTCCAAAGTGCTGGTTTTGGTAGACTCACCATCAGACGTGGAGACTGATGGAAGACTCACCATCAGACATGGCCCTGAGCGCTGCTGGATCCTGCACAGAGGGTGCTGGAGCCTTTACTCTGCAAAACCTGTGGCACAGGATTGGAGCATACCTACCACCCTGTGTGGCAGTGTCAGCCTGGTGCTGCAACCAGAAGCTCCCACCCTTACCACCTCCTGGGACACCACAGAGCTGCTCCCACAGGGCATGCCGCCGTGGAACTCTGCCARTAACCACAAACCAGTCCCCTCTCAYAGGAAAGCCACCACCTCCTGCCACCAAAAGCTGTTCTGGTTTTGGYTGGGGACCAAGCAGCCTCAGAGGAAGTGGTAGCCTATTCAACATGCTCTAAAAAGGAAGTTTTATTTCCACCTGTGAGATCACGGCAAGCAAAGCAGCTGATGTATAGTAAAAGGGTCTCTGTCCCACACACACCAGCAGACTTTGCTCTCCCACTGATACTGAACCACCTGACCCCAGCCTCACATAAGGGAATTGCTTCTTGCTCCCCAGAAGGTAAAGTGAGCTAAGCACTGCTGATCCAGGTACCATGACTTCTCTGAGAAGCATTTGCTGCAGCAGCCCTCACATAAGGGAATTGCTTCTCCCTCCACACCAAGGCAGTTAAGCATGTCCAAGCAGAAGTGTAGCAGTTACTGCAGCCAATCAGGACAATGTGCAGTCATATTCGAATTCTCACCCTCAAAGATCAGATGCTCACGTGGAGTACAGCCACAGTATCCAACTTCTGCACCAGGGAACGAGGCAGACCCCATCCAACAGAAAATCATCTTACCTGCAGGGCAGTGTGCCCACAGTTCTCGCAGCAGCAACCAAGCGGCCTGTGCAGCAATRCAGAGGCTGTGCTTGGCTGAACAGGAAGCTGTAAACTGGACTAATTAGAGCCCTTCTAATTAGCCACAGCTTTGCAGCCTGGAGCATCTCCAGGAAGGCAACAGCAAGCCTTTTTCAAGCCAAACCAGACACACCCCCATCCCCACCATCAGTGATCTGTAGCTGCAGTGGTTTGAGCYGGGTTTATTTAGTGTTGGCACTGCCAGCTTCCCCCAGGAAAGCATGACGGTATTCATGGATGTGAAACTCGGATCAATGCATAACACAACACACAGTGGTGCCGCTGCTGCTGCTCTCTCAYAGCAGGTCTGCAAAACAGCATCCACAACAGACAGACGAAGGCTGCCAGCGCCCCAGTCCTGGCTGAGGAATGGTGAGTGACAGACTGGGAGGCACCCAACAATCCAAAGAAAACCACCCCAGCAGGARATATTCAGGATTTACACCTGAATTCAAGCCCTTTTCCCCTGTAAACCCCACTGTCCCTGTAGCAGCATTTCAGTGGCTCTGTTTGGGACAGGCAGCCATTCTTGAATGGCTGAAGCAGGCCAGAAGCCGCAGAAACAGTCACTTGCCTTGAGACACCATCACCTTGTGATTCTGCCAACCACTAGACCCACCAGCCTCCCTGGCACAGCTCTGCAAGCCCAGTGCAGGTCAGGCCAGCACATTGCACAAGCCCACACCATGTGCTTCCCATCAGGAGCTTGATCTAGAGCTTGTCCTTGGTGCCAGCTCCAGCCTCAACTGTGGGCACAGGTGCAGATCAGGCAGGATTTCCCCTGGCAGGACCCTCGCAGGGCAAGCTRCAAACCCACCCCACAGTCTCTTGGTCTCTCATTGTGTGGGTGAATAGCAGGTCGAGATGAACTCCGTCTCCTTTGGGTCAGAATTGCCATCTACACCAGGTCCAGTGACAGAGGGGACTCACTCTGCCCGGCGGATGAACCAGATCTCATTGCGGCGCTGGGGGATGCTGGGATTTTCRTATGAAGCCACAATGTAGGTTTCCYGCAGCACCGTGTCTGTGGAGCCCAAGAGTTCCCAAAAGAGGCTAATCTCCCGCAGAATTGTCTCCTCAGTGGTCATCCCGTAGAAAACCCTGCAGCAAAGGGGGCAACATAAGCAACAGAGCCAGACATTCCCACAGCCAGAACTCCCATCCCTCTGCCCAAGGAACCACAGCAGCCATGCAGGGAGTTTGTACATCTCTGCCGAGCTGAGAAAACACCTCYGGTGCTGGGTCACCTGGTTATAACCTGGAGCGGTGGCCTCTCGATGATGTGGATTTCGGGGTCCACGGGAACAGGGGGGTTTTGCTGGAACTCTCCTGGCAGATAATAGGCAGTTAGGACCTCACGCTCCAGCTCGGTCCCCTCTTTGGTCAGGTGGATTTCGTTGAGCACTGGGACTGTCATGCCCAGATAGCAACCTGGAAAGAGGCAGGCAGGCAGTGAGACAGATGCACTAGCAGCAGCAGCCCTCCTCCCCACTCCAGATGGATGAGTGGCAAAGCCCTCCCTCTGTGCAGCCTGCCAGCCCCTCCAGCCCCTGCCTGCACACACCTACAGAGTTCTCCTTGCAGATGTAGCGCATGAGCTTCATGAAGCTCATGGAGATGCTTTGCTCATACATGGGCTCCCCCATGGTGACACAGGCCCACTTCCCAGCTGGGTACTGCCGCTCCTCGTAGGCCGCTTCCTCGCACTGAAACAGGCCACAGACAAGCCAAGTCAGAGTCAAGCACGCTGACAACGCTGCAGCAGCTGGSTGGAAAACCAACACTGACAGGCGAGAAGCGGGGAGACACCAGCCTGCCAAAACGAGAGCCCCTGCTAGGCAGCGRTTGGCAGAGCGGGACAAAGAAGGTGAGGGGAGCTGGCATCACACGCACCTCAGACAAGGATACTCATGAGCACTGGGCAAAAGTCAGCAAAAGGAAAGGCACAGACAAGGGGCAGGGTGCAAGGGGACCTGGAGGCTCCTGGCATGCACAAGGAATGCAGCACATCCTCAGCAAGGGGCACAGGACTTGCAGCTCCTCTTCAGTCTCTGTCCAGCCTACTCACAAGGATGTTCCTGATTCCAGGCACCCAAAAGCCTCCAGTAATGATGTTGTTCTCAGGTGCAGTGCCTTTTCACTGGAACCTGTGTACACACAGGATAACAGAAACATTCCTGCCCAATAGAAGGAAAAATCTGGCAGAGCTCTAGCACTCAGAAAAGCTGTGAAAACTGTAATGAAACTCCTCAGATCCTCCTCCCATACCAAGAAGCGACAGGAGGAAGAAGAGACATTAAACAAGCTGTGGTATTTTCTGGGATGGATCAGAATCTCTATTTCCAACACAGAATGTCCAATATTCTGGACAAACCCAACCCAGAAGTGGGGGAAGGGGAGTGGGGAAATTCAATCCTGGTATGTTCATAGCTCAGTTCATGGCACATCTGTGACCACAGGTAACACACAAACAGGGGCTGGAAAGTTGTAACCAGCACCTATCTTCCTGCTCTCAGCTTGTTCTTCAGACAGATCACAGTGGTCATGAGAMAATCCTGTTTCACAGAGCTCAGGGCACCTTCCCAAACTTCTCCCTTCCACAGCTCTGTTGGCAGTGACAGAACCAGGAAGCTGTGACCAGACACAACACTGGGTGCAGCCTCCCTGTGCCTCCACCCTAATCAGGTGTCTAGCCTGAAAGCCAAACCAAAGGTGGAGGGAAGGCACCTGGCCTGCTTGTGTGCATCAGTGGGATGCCAGTAAGAAAAACGCCCCAAAACACTGTGGGTCAGCCAGCATTCACCCTCCAGCTGGGGCCATGCCTGCCACTGTCCCACCAAGCAAAGAAAAGGAGAACAAGAGCATTTTCCAAGCAAGGAAACTGCCRATCCCTTTACACTATTTGGAACTGTCATCTGTCATACCACCTGCAATAAAACRATCAACGCAGTAAGTCACAACATCTGGTTGTGTCAGAGCCTGATCCTTACACCACTCTGGATGATGCTTGGCCAAGAGAAATAATGAAGATGCTTCACACAGATGCAGACAGCAGGTCCCTGCAAGGTGAGCTGGGGARCTGAGTCCTGACTGAGCTGGGGGCTGAGTGCTGACAGAGCACGGTGCTGTAGGAGACATAATGATTCACTTGCCTCAAAGAGGATGAGGGCTTGTAGCACTGATYGCTCAGGAAAAGCAACCAAATATCACTGATCTGCCTGAGCCTGGCAAATGTGTCCCTCGGTGCCCCAGCTTCAAAGTCCCCTCAGCACTGATGTCAGGCAGTGGCTCTTCTCACTCAGCCTCACACTCCAAGAATCCTCCCCAGGCATAGATGGGATGCCAACAACAACAACAACAAAAGATCTTCAGTTCCCACAAAGTCTTGGGGCCCCATTCCTGCCTGGGATTGATACAGGCGGAGTAAAGACCAGATTAAGTCCCAGGGACCCAGAACAAGGAAAGAGGGAGCGTGGTGAAGCCCCAGTTCAGAGCTGCGCAACCCACATGTTCAGACATGTTTTACTGGGAATGCTGGACCTCAGCCCAGAAGAAATTGGTTAACCACTTCTCACACAGAGGACAACTGACAGACATCTTCTTGGTAGGAWGCCCAACTAGGCCTGCAGAGACACAAGAACCAGTCTGACAAGCAGTTATTTCACAAAGCACAGAAGCACTCTTATGTGCATGAGATGAGAGTAAGTGTGTTTAAGCAGCACAAAGAGAAGATCTTCAGGCAGAAGAGACCACATTTGGATTGGCGATGGAGACAGATAGCAACACATGCTCAGGCCTGACAACCAGGGTCCTGGTGCCCTGTGTTCCCCACAGAGACATCTTTATCTTCTGCCAGCTGAAATCTCAACCAGCCACACAACTAGCACAAACACAACCAGCAGSACTTGGAGCTATGGAACAAGGCGTTTTGAGAACGGCAGGGAGCAGGCTCTGAACTGAACATTCCCTTTCTTAGATGCGTCCACCCCAGCAAGAAGATAGGCTGGCAAAGGAGGCAGCTGGAAGTCAGAAGACCAGAGAAAGCAGGAAGACTTATCCAAWTTTAAAATAAAAGCCGGGAAGCTGAGCACTGGCATTACTCTACACAGGAGGAGGTGCAGGAGCGGCAGCATACTGCACCGATCCAGAGGTGTCATCCCGGCTGTGGTGCTGCAGGAACCCCGGCGAGGCTGCTGTGCCAGGGAGAGGCTCTTCCAACCCTCCGGGCTGGCGGCAGCMCCCGAGGCAGCCTCACCGCGGGCGRGCAGCAGGCGACAAGCCGGCTGTGCGGAGAGGGTCAGGCCTCACCTTCCCGTGCTGCGACAGGGACACGTACGGCACGGGCTCGCGAGCCTGGCTGTGCCGGGCCATCTGGGCGATCGGGCCTGCCATGTCTGCAAGGCAAAGCACACGAGAGACGAGGCTCGCCCCGGCCGCGGCGCACAACGAGTCCGGCCCKTGCCGTCAGCCCGCCGCTCACCTCGGGGCAGGTTGACTCGATGCGTGCTGGCCACGGCCTCCCACTGGGCGAACAGCTGTCCCTGCTCCTCCTGGTCGTCCTCGCTGTCGCTGTCGTCGCCGGGCTCCTCGCCCAGCCGCTCCAGGTCCTCCAGCGTGATCCGCGCCATCGCGTCCGCCGGGAAGGGGACGGGGACCGCCCCGGGGCGGCACAGCCCGGCCCAGCGCTGCCCAGCGCGGCGGAGAGCGCCCCCTGGCGCTCCGGCGGACCGTGCCGCCGCTGTCCCCCGGCAGGCGGCGCCCGTCCCCTCGCCCCCCCCTCCACCGCCCCAAATCCCCCTCAGGCCGAGGCGCGGTCACTTCTAGGGTCGGTTTTATTTAATAAAATAAAGTACAGCGATCATCCGGCGGGGGACCGGCGTCCCGGGGGCACGGGGCAYTCCCGCCGCTGCCCCGGCCCGGGGACAGCCCCCCTCCCCGGGCTGGCGATTCTACCTGGCGAGCGTGTGTGACCGGGACCGAGCATGCGGCCACCAGAGCTGCGGGCCCCGGTGAGCAGCAGAGGAGCATGCGGGCGGGCTGCGGTGCCCGAACTAGCTAGGGACCCCCGGGGGAGGCCGGGCTGGGCTGGGCTGGGCTGGGCAGGCAGACGGTGGCACGAGAACCGGTGATGGGGAGAACAGAGTAGGTGGTGTGGGGAGTGCCGGGCGCTGCCCCGTGCAGCGCGAAGCCAGGGTGCCCAGCAGCGGAGCAGCCAGGTCAGTTGGAGGAGAGCAGGGAGCTGTGCGAGGACAGGTCCATGCTGCTGGCGCTGAGGCCTCTGCTCTCCGCACGGAGGCCTTGGGTGCCCTGGAAAAAATAYAATGCCTGTGAGGTACCTGTAATCCACTCCTGGGCCCCAAAGCTGCTACCCCACCTCCTGCACCCTTTGCAAGCCGGGAGTGCCCTGATGCTGCTGTCACACACAGTAGCTGCTGCCTCTGCACCCATTCCGTGGCTGAGCTCTGTGGGGACGGAGGTGAGTACTTAGAAGCAACACCTTCAGACTAGATTTAACCTGAACAGGGGCTAATGCAGCTGGGCGATTCTCAGCACTGCACCTGGACCCCTCTGTTATGCCACTCACAGCCCCCAGCCTCATGCCTGTTCCTGCACCAGCCCCACCACTCACACTGTGCTTACCTCAAATGAAGCATCGCTAGACTTGTGCAGGTAATTTAAGGACGCAGCTCGTTTCATGCTACAAGAAAGAAAAGGAGAGCAGGTGTGATCGTCCTGTGGGTGGTCAGCCCCAGACTCACAAGGTAGCGGGGTCCCCACCCGCCCTGTACCGAGCCTGACCCTTGCACCTACTTGGTGTTCCTGGGCTCCAGGGGACCATTGCCCTGCAGTTTCTTGACCAACATCTCACTGCTCCTCCGTATCACATCCCGGATTTTCCCCAGGGAGCTGCTGCGCTGGAGAGTGCCACTGCCATCCTGGACACAGAGACACAAGCCAGGGTGATGGCTGAGTGGCACCGATCAGGCTCTGGCATGCTGCTGATGAGTGGCTGGAACTGGCTCCAATCATCCTCTTGCCCACTTGCACTGAGGATTTAGCCCTGGCCCAAAGCAGGCTTAGTGCTCACTACATGGCTTCCCCTCAGCCTGGTTCTCCCCAGGACGTGATGACCATGGAGTCAGGGACCCCTGCCACTTGTATCTCGCTCATCCAAACAGATACTCCCTCCTGTCCAGTGCAAGCTCAACASCCAGACAGGCTGCTGATGTGCCCCAGGCCACCAGCACAAATGGCACTGGCATTGCCACAGCCCTGCTCAAACATGACACAGTTCCTCCATCTGCAACAGCTCAAGCAGCARCTACCAAGGAGAGGTCCCAGTGGCCAGGAAGGCAACAAGCCCTGAGGGGAGTCCCAAGATTAGGGATACTTTTGTCAGGCCAGGCCATGCTGCTGGGACTTTTACTTTAAGGACTCTCCTCATTTGCTGCTGGCTGGAGGCCATCCTCCCCCTCCCCTTGCCCTTCTTCACCATACCATCACTATTTGTTCTCTGTCCAGCACTCATCCCAATGCACACCCTGGTCCCGCAGGCTCACATCACACAAGACCATTCCACATTGCACACACAGCCTTCTCTCACCTCTAACCCTCCAAGAAAATTAGCTTTGAGCCTTTGGAGCAGTTCAGACAGCTCCACTGGAGATGCATTCATTTGGCAGCACCAGCATTGTGTTACTAAGTGGGAACCATACTCCTAGGCCCCCTGACTTAAGCTGCARACAGCCCCTCTAGCTGATGCAGGGGTGGCACTCGGCAGTTGTTTTTTGTTTTTTTTCTGAAGACCAAAACCAGCCTGAAATCTTGTTTCCGAGCCTGCTTTCTCCCACATGCCTCCCCAGTACTCAGCCCCTGACAGGCTCTAGCCCACCTCCTGCACTTAGCTCCACAYGCAGGTTGCCAGTATGACAGATCCTGCCCCCGTGTCATCATGGCACCAGCTCTTCCCCTGTGCCTGGCCTGCTTGTTACATAAGGTTGTGACACTACTGCTGATGTGGAATTACTTTTGCTCTGATGGCCTGATAACAGCAGTCTTCCCTGCTCCTGGAATACTGGGGCAGAAGAACCTGAGGTAAGGTGATGGCAAACTCCCTTTATTCCTTAGGAACATGTGAGGGAGCMCCTTTGAAGCACTCCAAGTGACCAAAAAGCTTTGTGGCTCAGGCTAGCAGCAGCAATTACCTCAAGACTGCCCATGCAGCTCTGCAGGTGAGCAATGGTCACTCCCTTGTGGCCCTGGGGAAGGTTTTTCCAGCACTTCTCTGCTCTGATTACCCAAAGCCGATCCAGGGCTAGACTGCTCTCTAACAGCTGAGCAGGACCTTTCCTACCAGCAAACTTTTCTCCTGGTACTTATCTCATCCCTTCTTGGATAAAACATGTGCATTGACCATCTTCACTTTCTCATTGGGATGAGGGTTTTCCAAATTGAGAGCCGTGTGTTGCTGCTGCAAAGGGACCCACTCACCAGAAGGGCAGAGAGCACCAAAAGCAGCAAAGTAAACAATTCAATTCCTGCACGAGGCACCCCAGGCAGGGTTTGGATGAGCTGAACGTGAGTGTGTGGCATTAGCAAAGATGGGGAGGTGTCTTTTGCCTCCCCACCAGACTTACACTCTCCCTGCAGRGTACTGCTGTGCCAGGCACTGCTCCTTTTCCCAGGGCACACAAGCCAGGAGTGGAAGAGGGAACACAGCTGGGATAGGAGAGCAGGACTGTGGGGCAGCAGGATCAGGCTAYGAAGTGTGCCCTTGGATCAGGGCTAGAGGAGGGAGCCACATTTCCCAGCTGCAGTGATGCAGACTGACTGCAGACCAACACCAGAACCAAATGCTGCTGCATGCTGGGTTAAAAATAGCCTCTCTTCTCCCCCCACTCCCTTTTCTGACAGATTATTTTTAACCCAGAACATTTATGGGTTTGGTTTGCCGCAGAGCCCCCACCCCATTGCACCCACCAGGATGAGAGCATTCGAAAAAAAGAAAAAGCAGCTCCACCACCGAGCTCCTCTCCACTGCATGCTCCCACCCTGCCTAAATGCATGAAGGCAGAGGACTTGGGCAGGATTTGGCAGCATGTGGAGCTCAGCACTGAGGGACACAATGGGGTATTTCTTTGGCTAATAGGAATGCCTGTTGGGGAAGGTCCAAGCTCAGATGCCCCAGGGCARCCCTGCCACACACGGTTACAGAGCCGAGGTTAGCAGCAACTCCAGTTTGGAGGACAGGGAGAAACACAGTGGAGCTGGGTTCTCATCTCCAATGCTCAGCCTGGGAGGGSTGCCCTGGGGGCAGCACATGCCCCTGTACACACACAGACAGACACCAAGCACCCCCACACCTGCTCCAGCAGCATTTGCACCCACCACCCCAGGGCTGACCGACGCTGGCCTACAGAGCATGGAAAGAAGCACAGGGCAGCGATTTGGGTCAGTCTACCTTTAATTAGAGGTATGGTTGTTACAGCACCAGGTCCAGGACATGGCAAAGCACAGGGGCAGGTGGCCCTGAGGTCCAAATGCCCCCTGCACTGGGAACTCACCACTCTCCAGAAGCATGGAGCAGCACTGGGACAGAGAGGCAGGGAAGGTACAGCCCTGGAGCACTCAGCCCTGCACTCCACACCCCATGGTCTTGAAGGCAAGCTTCCTTTCAGTAAGCACAAGCTCCCAGGGGAGCAGCATGCATGTACCCCAAGGCCTCTGCAYCACCACAGGAAAGCCAGGCCCAGACAGACACAAGCACATTTAGTATCACAACCTGCCAGAGGACTAGCGTGAAAGAAAGGATCTAGCTAAATAAATAAGGAGGAGTCCTGCGCTGGCCCCTGGGCTCTACCCTGCTGGCTGCAGCCTCCCCAGCTTTCTTCCCAGACAGGAAGGCCACAGGAGGCGGGATGAGAGTGTACACCCAAAGGTGTGAGACTCAAGACAGTGGAGGTCTGGCTCRGGACACATTCCATGTCCCAGTACTGACTAACAGCATCAGTTGCTGTGAAGGCCTGAAGCCATCAGAGGCACTGAGCCACCCCCACACCCCCTCAGGGTCAGCACTGTGATCCTAATCAGTAACAGGGTTACAGATTTCCCACCCACTTGGCTAGGGACCTGTGAGCAATCCAGTCCCTTCCCCTGTGGCAACCTCCCTCCAGCCATCCCATCTGCTCCCACATGCTCAGAGCATCTCCAGCTCTAGCTCTTTGCTTCCTCACATCCATCTTTGTACATTCTTTTTCTCCCAACCACTCTGCTCTAATCCAGTCCATTCCCCATCTCAGCCACTTCTAATGGTCTGGGGTCTGGCCCCTCGCAAAAAAGTTCTCCTTTCCTCCTACCCCTCATCTACCTTCAAGGAACAGTGAACAACTTCACTTCCACTTTTCCCACCAGCCACACCTAAGAACCCTGTAGCAATGGGGGACTTGATTCACCCCTTAATGCCAGATGAAGAACTTGGCTGTAGCATCCAGTCAGGAVGTTGCAGCCAGACATGTTTGTGCTGGCCAGTCCCTGTTCCTGCACACAGTCCTCGGCTGTTGTCCCCTCACCTCATCTTGGATGCACAGTAGCTCTGTGGGCTGCCCTGTGCTCCTGCAGAGAGATGGACACATTGCTCTGGGGTTACTCAGCAGGGAGGAGGGGAGCAAGATGGGAACTGCCCTGTGCTGCAGGGAGAGCCCAGCTCACCGGGGACCAGCACAGCTTTGCTACAAGGCACTAATGTCAGCTAAGCCTACGGGGAAGCAAGCAACTCGGCACATGACAGCCCTGCCTAGGCCAGGCCTCACTGTCCCATAACAGCCCTCCATCTTCGCGCCTCTGTGGAGATGGAGGGAACAAGCTAGGAGGGCTGAGGATGTCTAGCAACAGTGGAGTCAGCAAGCTGGAGTGAAGACAATCCTCCGCAGGCCTGGGCCCCAGGGATGTGCAAGGGCAGGCCAGGGGTGGGGACACACAAGGGGACGGTGGCCTGTCACCCTGGCCTGGGGGAGCTGGCAGCTCCTCGCAGATTCTTCCTGCTCTTGCTGGCCAYGGGACTGGAGCTGGGCCACGTGGCCAGGCACTCCTCTGCAGGCGTCGCGGTGCCCTCGCACGCCAGGAGGGTTGGGGGACTGGCGTGGAGTTCTCGCCGAGGAAGGAGGGATGGTGTGGAGGAAAAGTCGGAAGATACAACACAAACATCCAGGTGACTGCRGTGGAGGGGAAAGAGGGAGTCTCGGGAGGCATTTAAGCCTAGTGCACAGAGAGGAGAAAGACACAATTTACAAGGCTGTGAGGTTGTAGGTCACCTAGGGAGCAGGTGGGGCAAGGCCCAGGCTGCATGCAGAGACCACAGGCCACATCTGGGCAGGGAGAGGGTCTTGTGAGGCTGAAACTGTGGTCTCMCTTCTTTGCTAGTGGCTTAATGGGCTGGCAGGAACAGCTTAACTCAGGGAGGAACAGCCCAGGTCTCCTGTTCCAAGGACTCCCTGCTCCTGGGCCTTGAGTATCTGCCAAGGCCTCTGCACCACGGAGTTGGTGCCATCTCCCTGGTCTCACATCCCAATTATCTGGGCAGCAAGCAGCTGGTCCAGGCTCTGGGGTGCTTCCAGAGCTGCCTATGGGTGCAGGGCACAGAGGTTCCTGGCACCCTGGRGGCTCCCACAGCCTTGCCTGGAGCAGAGGACAGCTAAGGGAGAGCAGCAGAGGCTGCTTTAAAGCAGCACATCTGAGGTCTCTGGACCAAGAGAGAACAACGGGCTGTGACAGACAGGAGCAGCAGAAGCTGCATCAGCCTTCTTTTACACGGAGCTGCAGCACTGCTGGCTCAGAAAGAGAAGTCTGGCTATGCGTGCAGCAGGCTGGAAAAGGAATCATGGCAGCAGCTGTGTCCCCCAGGGTGCTGGGCTAGCCCTCAAATCCTCTATTTACAGCTGTCTGGGTCAGGGAAGCTCTACTAAGACCCCTGGGGAAGGGTCAYATGAGCAGGGACTATTCCCCCTGTCTGGGACAGGCTCGGGGAGAGGGTGGCACTGCCTACTTGCCTGAGGATGATCAGCTCAGAGACTGTCAGGAAGGTCTCCCAGACCATCACCAGTGCAAAGAGATCACCCAACACCAAGCACAGTCAGGAGGAGCTGCARAGAGACACCAGCCAGCACAGGGAGCAGGTGATTCTAATCCARACCTGCAGCCCTCCCTCTGTGCTTGTCTAGCCCCTCACTAATGGTGAGTGCAGGGGTCTAGAGTTGGTGCCTTGCAGAGCTGACGCTCTTTGGTCCTGATGCCAAGACCTGGGGCAAAGGACAGCCTTGCACCTGGCAAAACTGCTGTGTCCACTTGAAGGTCTGCTCTCCAGATCCCCTTCAGCCACCTCCTGTGTACAATCCACAATCAAGAGAGCCAGCAGGCTTCAGGCTTTGGGTGTTGAAGGGCTGTCATGGCAACGGGGAAGGAAAAGGAGGAAGGGAGGGAGCTCATGCAGGTGGGRATAGAGCAGAGCCAGGTGGGGAAGGGTTAGTGACAGCAGATGTGAGGGGGCAGCAAAGGACTCTGTGTGCTCAGTGTGTTCCCTGTGCCAGGCTGCAACAACCCCAGCTACTCTGTGCTCTCAGTCAGAGTTTGCAGAAGGAATGTGAGCATTAACAGCTCCAGCAGCCCTTGAGCCAAGCACCCACCAGCACCACGCTCACTTGTTGCCCTTCTCCATCCTCCTGCTTGCAGGAGACAAAAGGCACCTGTTCCAGACCTGGATCACTACCTTTCTCCAAACTCAGTGCCAGTGACCAGAGAAGTCACCCTCAGCCTCAGAGCAAGCCTAGACAGGTTCAGGTTGCCCTGTCTGTGCCTCAGCTAACACCAATCTCTTGCCTCCACTGGTCAGCACAGCTCAGCATCCTGCAAACACCCGCCTTTTATCACCTCTGCTTGGCCAGAGCCTGCTGAGGGCACCAGACCAGGAGAGGGGGACAGCAAAGGTGCTGGCTGCAGACTATTCCTGTGCCCTGCAGTCAGTCAGTCACAGACACACCCAGGCATATCACACACACACAACCCTCCCCAGGCTCAGCATCRTCAGTGGCACGGTGCAGGACAGACAGCCAAATGGCTCTCACAGGCTGGGGGAGCCCGAGACGGGGCTGATGCTCTCAGCCAGGGCCTCCAGAGGGGAGCAGCAAGGAGAGATGTTAATAAGGTTACAAGCCTAAGATTAAGGGCAGACCAGGACCAGCTCATGCTGTGCACTGCCAGGGCCTGGCAGCTCCCTAAGCAGGAGCCCTAGCTGGGGTAATCTGTTCTGTACACCAGAAGCCAGACCCAGACACGCACCTTTGYGGGCTGGCTGGCTCATGCCAAGAAAGGGGAAGGAAATGTGCAGGGAATGAATGGAGGCAGACAAGGATGCCACGACAGGCCACGCGGGGACAGCCCTCAGGCAGGCTGTCCCTTCCCTCTGGCAGCCAGCTGAGGCCATTCTTGATGGTGTCTTGTACTTACCCCGCTCCATTCCACGCCCATACTCACTTCCTCGCTACCGTCTGTGGCACTCTCGTACTTGACGCTGCCTCCCAAGCTCCGACGTCTCTCTGTGCCATCCCCCTCCTTCAGGATCTCCACCACCTTCGTCTGGTTGATTGGGTCAATGCCCTGCAAGCAGGAAAGGATAGGCAAGAGCCATATTTTATCTTTCCGTGTTCCTTCCCTCTAGAGATCTGCTATGCCATCACTGTGCTTGGTTCCTTTCCCTCTCTTGGCCACTGCCCCATCACAGCCAAAACTGTCCAGCATAAGCAGGATGGACCCAAAAACCATCCTGCACTTGACTGTCTCTGGACTCAGCCCAATGGAGTCTTCACAAAGGCCATAACCAACCCTGTGGAACAAGGGCTTGCTACCCCAAAGCTTTTTTTCCTTCACATTTTGAAGTGGGAAGGATTTGGTTGTCCTTCAGTCTTTGTGCTAAGTSCTTACAGCTCCTGCTTTATTAAGGACTGAGAGGAGTATAAGGTGAGAGGTTCTCTAAGAAATTCTAGGTTTGCCTTTGGAGAAAAAAATTAGTGTGAAGGAAACATCCCAGTAAGTGTAGCTCTCTCCCCAGTAGCTGACAAAGCCCAGTAACCTGCCAGTTGCAGTATTCCTGCATTCAGTGAGCCATGCCTTCCCCACACATCCACACAATACATCTGCACACATGCATCACCCCCCACACCTACACACGTGTGCACTTCTGCACAAATGCAACTCCAGCCACCAAGGCGCTCTGGTGTCATGGGAATGTAAACCAAGAACAGACTGCAAGGCCAGTAGAGTCACTCAGCACACCCCAAACAAAAGGCAGGGCCATAGTAAGCCCTGCAATGCCCCTCAGAGCAGGGAAGGTCCCTCTGGGGTTACCTGTCGCCGGGAGCGAACTGCGCAYTCCTCCAAGGTCTCGGCTGCCTCCAGCTTGCCCTGGCGCCGGTACAGYGCACCCAGGTTCCTCAGAGTGGTGTTCACAGTTGGGCTGTGGCAACAGAGGGAAGGTGAGCAGGAGCCCTGGGGTCACCCCTCAAGAGTCCACAGCTGCCCACGAAACACCTCTTACCTGCTAACCTTACAGGCCTTGTACCAGCCTCCATACTCGGCATAGGGAGCGCTGTCTCTGTGCTTGCTCTGCAGGGKGAGGAGAGACAAGAGCTCAGTTAGTCCCGTACCTACTGCCCTTCTCAGCCCTGTGCTCACCCAGTGAATGCCAGGGTCAGACCCCAGGCTGCACCCCTGCACAGCCCAACCTTTGCAAACATAATATGCAAACACAGTGATGAAGCCCAGCAGGGTCTGGTAGGAAAGTTTGCTGCAACAGATTTGGGCCACGAGCAAAAGTGATGTCTGGCTCCAGGAAGGACCATAATCCCATCTCCTCACCCCATTTCACACAACACAGCCTATCCTCATGACATAATGGAAGGCATGACACCCTGACCAACATGCAAAAGGCAGACAAAACTCCACAAGCATGCCAGTCACCATTACCAAATCTCTCAGCCAGGACTAGCAAAGGAATCCACAGCCACATCCCAGCCCTTCAGCCTACAAGATTCAGACCTACTCCACAATACCTCAGCCCAGTAGCTGCCTCCTGCCCGTGCCCAGCCTTTGCAYCCCTGAAGCTTGTGTAGGGGCAGCCCTAAAGGGTGTCTGAACCTGACAGAAAAGGTGTCAAATTCTCTGGGACACAAAGCCTTGAAGGCCAGGGCTACCAGCTGTGCCCAAGGCCCTGCTGCTGGCATGAGCTGGCCTCCYTTTGCCACCAAGAAAGAGAGGCAAGGACCAAAAGTACTGAAGCAAGAGGAATTCAGTGCATTTTAACGGAAAATATGGAAACACAGCACAAGGCAGAGCACATCAGCCCCAGCTCCTGGGCCAGCAATACAAGCTGAGGTCTGTGACTACTGCTCCCAGGACAGGAATGCCAACCATGTTTTGCCATGGGGCACAGGCACAGCTGCCTTGGGGACAGGAGCCCCAGAGTCAGGGAAAGAAGCTCAGCCCTTGCCTAAGACTCACATGTAAAATTAATTTCTTACTCCAGGTGTAAGTCTCTGAGCCTTGCTCTCTTGCCCCAGGCAAAACCTGCATTATCTGGAGCAYAGCTCCATACTACAGCTACCTATATTTGACCCCTAAATTCTCCAAAGATACCACCATGAGAGTCTCAATCCCAGAGTGGGCAAGTGGAATCTGGTCTCTACTCCAATTTGGATTTCTCCAGGATGATGCTGCAGCAAGAGCAGATTCTTTGCAGGTGAGCCTTCACAGTACAGCAACCAGAAGAGCGTAAAGCTGAGCAGTGTCCTGCATGGGAGCCATGCAGAATGGCTCAGCAGGAAGACACAGGATGCTGGTGGGAAACACCTGCCAGTGCCCTGCTTTCAGGGCTGACAGGATGGGACTCATCAGTCACTGAGTCAAGCCTGCCAGACTGCTGCCTGAACCCTTGGAGGGTTGGGGCCTGCTCTGAGGGCAAARAAAAAGGAGGGTCCCACCACAGGTAGAAAACTAGATCAGAACCCTTCATTCTGCTGCTTCACCCACCTGCAAAAAAACAGATGGGACTTTAGACTTGGCAAAAGCAAAGACATGACTCTGCTGCATTAATTGACAGACCACAGAGCTGGACCTGGGCTACACGAGCAACAGCAGCTTTGCCTTTCAGCCTAGTCCAAGGCAAGCACAATCCATTTCTCTCCTCTTTCAGAGGCCAGCTAGGGCCTGCCCTTTCCAGAGATATTTTTCAGATTTGGCTCCATTTCCTAAGCAAGGCGACAGCAGCAGTTTCTTCTTGACCTCCATTTTTCCCTAGACCAGCCTTAGAGCTGCTTCAGAAGCCGCTCATGCTCTGGGTACTGGCAGCTCTTTGGAACAGAGTGCCAAGGCCTCGCAGCACAACCCGCTGCCATCTGCCATCTTCCATCATCCGCATGCCCACGAGGGATCTGCTATAAAGCAGAGATAGCATGCAGCCATGGCTGAGAGGCTGAACAGCCCTGCCCAAGGAAATACACCCTGCACCCCCAGGGAGCAGCAGTGCTATATCCCCCTTCTCCAGACACCTCCTGGCCTTGGCAGCTCTTCAGACTGCAGCTTCTCCTTCTCCAAGAGATAGGCTGTGATAAGAGAAGATCAAACCCCCTGGGATCACACTCACCTTGCTCATCTCCTCTCTCTCCTCTGCGTGCATCCAGATTGGCTTGTGCTCATCTGTGYGGGGAAGAATGCAAAACAGGTCCAATCACCACTCCACCCTGATATGTGCCTCCCACACAACCCAGCACTGTGTCCCCAGAGCTAGCACCTCATCAGAAGGA